AGCAAGGAGAAAATAAAGTGTTGATAATTAGGTGTCTGTGACACAGAAATGGCTGTTGTGTCTCCTTGCCCTCACAGACAAGTCACCAACATAAATAACAGGCAAACATTGACTTCCTAGTCCTTTTCCCATTCTGACCTGATGGTGAGCCTCTGTGGGGTCAGCGGGAATACAAATGAATGTGATAGGTTTGGATGAAATGACAGGAGATGAGAGTGTTTGTTTGACAGGTTGGTGAGTGGTTTCATGGCGTGAAATACTGGAGGATGGAAAGCAGGATCAAATGTGAACCCCCAAGGAGACTGGTCAGGTCAAGGACATGACTTTTTAAGTGGATTGAGTAGCTGAGGAAGGGTGAACAGGTGAGAGTAGCTCACCTGTTTGAAGTGCTGTTTTGAAATTATATTATTCTAGACATATTATCTGTATCAAACTAATCGAGATGGTTTGATTGAAGGAAAGAAAAATGTTTGATTAAAGGAAAGAAAAATATTGCACTATATTAGGAATGGCAAAGCAGTATGACACTGACTCCCTTGGTTTCATTGTCCAAGAGAGCAAAGTTTATTATTCTTAATCTTCTTTTATACAGATGTTCAGGAAGGTCTGAGAGGTAAAACTCTCATTGGTCCTTAAAGCAACACATCACCATAAGTGAAACACCACCCCTTGACTAAACAACACCTGCAGATTGTTGTCCTTTACCAAGGATTGTTTAGATTCTTTCTTATGCTTTCTCAGGCCAGACTGAGAAGCCTGTGTGACTTCGTTTCACACAGGCTCTGTTCGCCCTGCCTGCTTTCAGCATCCATAATTTGCTTATGTTTTCTTCAGAGACAGCTTAATTTTTCAGTGTAAGGTTACTTCCAATTGTTTCAAATGCACTGGATTTTTTTCTCTCAGCCTAGGTGGAACCTTTACTGTCACTAATGAGAACAGTTTGCATCATGAATCTACCATCCCCCTTTCAGCCTCTCCCTCTTAAATCACGGTGCATTAGTGTTATTGAATAAAGACTTTTCTGGAAACATTATCCAACTATTGTATTGAATTTCTGCTTCCAAGTTTAGCTTTCATGCTAATCTGAGTGCTATTTTCTTCATGGAAATTTACACTTTGGCACTATACCAGTGTGTTTTGTGCAAGAATGAGAAGAAAAAAAATTGTACTCAAATTGTTTGTAGTAGATTTGCAGTACTTGCAGGTGTGATTTATTTGTGTGTTGGATTGTGCAGAGTGCTGCTCTAACTGTAGGGATGATATTGAAACAAATGAACAGGAGCTAAATGCTCAGTGGACTTCAATTAGTTGCATTTCAATTACAGAGCTAATTAAACAGAACCAACCAAGAAGGCCTTATTTCATACATCCTGGAATTGTGATCAGCTGATCTGCATGCTGCATGCAGAGTGAAACTACTTTTCAGAAAGTGGCACACACTATGCTGAAGAATGTGTGACATGCACATATTTAGTATATAATTACTTATATACTGTAGTTTTCACTCTACAACTGTTGAAACAAGGACAGAATATTCATGTGTGCCAAGTGTGACAACTGCTCCAGTAACTGTAAATAAATAGACTATTGTAATTAATAAGACATATTATGAAGGAGAGATCTTATAAAATAATGACAGTGCTAGTGTTTTGCATATTTTGTGGCACTTTCATAAATACAGGTGAAAAGGATGATAGAGTTGTCACTTGTCCCAAAAAAATCCTTTCACACCAGGTGATAGAGCAGGTCTTATTAAATGCTTATTCAGATACAATCAATAAACTAGAAATCCTCTGTGAATCTCAGATATATATCAGTGGTTCTTTTTCTACAGCTGAGTGAAAGTAAACAAATGTAATAGAGAGGCTATAGGATTATTAGTTCAACAGTCAGCAAACTGGCCACACTAATGGTTGTTGCTGCATAATTCTGAAATTATCTTGGGAAGAATCTGTCAGTGCAAATGCACTTACCACAAGCGGTATGTGCATCGTGAGTGCTTTAGCAGTACATAAGGCAGTAATGGATCAGAAGTGCCCTGCAATTGAGTGGAAGGCCAGGCCAGTGTCTCTGTCTCAGACAGAAAGTGTTTGGTGGATGTTGTTTCTGAAAGCCTCTCTGATGGTCAGGTTTGTCCATTTTCTTGTTACCAGCTTCTTGTTACCTCCTCCACACCGAGGCATCCACTGACACTCTGTCATCTTGGGCTAAGAAACATCTGCAGGTTAAAAGATTCTTCTTTCCACTCCCAGTCCAACCCCCTCCCTGCCTGTAGAGGCTAAAAAAGGAGGTAGGAACAAGGCTGAGGGCAAGGAAGCATTGCTGTCCTAGGCAGGGAACTGAGTCACTGAGAGAATAATCAGTCAGCTGCCAAACAAGAGACAGGCCCCTTTCTCACTGGGTCACGAGGTGCTCTGTTCATTTCCTGGCAATGCAAAGTTGGCATACTTGAGGTTTTCTTTGTTTGCTTTGAAGCCTGCCTTTGGCACAAGCCAGTGGGAAAATATACTTTAGCTGAAACAAAGTTCTTAGTACCCTGCTATTGTATCGGGTCACTCACATGTGTTAGCAAGCGGTGAAACAGCCTGCCGACAGCTGGGCAGGTCTATCTGGGAATTTGATTTCGTGATGTAACGTTTTCATTTGGTTAGTTAATGGACTTAGAGAAATGCTAGGCAAAAATGACATTTCATACAGGAACAAGTTCTACATCTTCAGATGTTCAGGATATGTTCCTGATGCTCCAGTTTTAAAAATGTGATATAATAGCAACTATTTCAAAAGAATTACTACGTTTAGTCTTAGCTAGCCCTCCGCAGAAAAGTTTATAAGGATGTTGAAACAAGTGTTGCCAGTTTTTATGGGTTAACACTTGAAGCTTTCCAACTGAGAAATGTCTAATCCCGTACCACTCAGTGCAAGTATGCAGAGGTTGCAATGGGAGTCACCTGGTGGTAAAGTAAAATAATTTTTCATCAGAGTTTGCTTTAACCATTTCATTCACTTGCACATGAATTACAATTAATTTTTAATTTTTAAACAAACTTTGTTCTGAAAGTACCTGCATGTATCTCCCAGGTTCTTAGGCACATTTGAAGCTGTGAATTCTGATGTTGTTTTTCAGTCAGTCTCTGTCTCTTTCTATGATGTTACTGCATAGAGTAGGAAAAAGGCAGAAAAACACCTATGTAGCATAGGTGTAGAATGCAGAGTGGATCTAGGTCAGATCCTGAAGTGTCCTGCACCATTATGCTTGGGATACAGTACCATCTGGTCTGCCAGAAATGGACAAACAGTGGTGAGTTTTGAAGAAAACAAATCAGAACTTTTAATTTCTGAATGCCTGTTCACAGTCAGCAGGGAAGTATTTGGCACTACAGGTATACAGCACGAGAAGTGCAACATATTGAACCATAATTAATATGGCCTTTCCTGTAGAAAAGAAAATCTCAGAACTTTATTCTTAGTATTAATACTGAGTCTCAACCCTCTGCTGGTAAACCTGTGATAGATGTGATAGAATTGGACAAAGATAAGATGAGAGCAGATTATAAATGGGAAAATAAAGTTAATATGGGTAGTGATACAAAATTCAAAAGACTGCTTTGTCTTTAAAGGCATAACTTTGAAAAGATAAAAGATTTTAAATGTACTGTGTGAGCTGCAGGAAGTTTGGAATGGAAGTTGTGGAGTTTTAACTTCTCTATGAAAAATGAGCTAAGTCACTATATAGCACCTTTGTTTCTGGGTACAAATCCCTGTTAATCACGTCTTAATGCACAGGAGATCAGTGTACAATCCACAGTGCTGTGGATATGCTGGTCCCACGCTGCAGAATACCCGCCCTGGCTCCCTACCCACTGGAGGGGACAGTGCAGTGTCGCCCTGTGCCGTGAGACACCGTCCCTCTGCCAGCAGAGAGCAGTGCAGCCCTTCGCCGGGATTTCAGGGGCCATAACTGGAAACATATGTGGGAAACAAAGCAGATGAATAAGGAGGAATATACACTGAAGAACTGAACACAGAGGCAGGCTGAATGTGGAGGTGAGACGGGGTGATGCACTCGATGGGGAAAACAACGGAGAGTAAAGGCAATGCAAGGGGGGCATGAAAAGAGGAAGGGAAACTACAAAATACAGACTGTGCTAAAGCAAACTGAAGACTTGAAGGGTGAAGGTAAAACATTTTGAAAAGAGATTGTGGCATTCCTGAACTACAGATGTGTTGCAATTCCTGGTGCTGGGCATGAAGGAAGGACAAGGACCCGGGATGTGCGACCATTCTGTAGTACCATAGGGGAATATAGGTGTGCTTTTCTTATTTCTAGATCTTAACTACTTGTAGTGAACTGGCACTTCAATAATGTATTGTATTAAGGTGATCAGATAAATTTCAGCTGCAGGGGATCGTGTTTCCTACATCTGACTCGAGAAGTAAATCAGAATCCAGTCAAAAAGTGTGTGGGGCTGTCACCATGTTTTAGGTGAAAGCATGTCACCATGCTTTTGACATGCTTTCACCTGCACAAAAGGGGAAAAGGAGTCATCATTTCTTGTAATGGGTACAACATGAACACAAATCCCGCTTATTAAGGATTTTTCCTCGATTTTCAGCAGAATGTTGAAAGCAAATGCTTCTTTCTCCCCTTCTTACAGTAGGCTCTCCTGAACTCTGTGTAAAATGTCAGTGTGTTACGTAAAATCTGCAGCATTCTAATGATGCTTTCAGGCTTACTGTGACCTTTTGAAATCATTACAAACCCCCACCTCACTCTCAACCCCCATTCTTCTTCACTTAATTGTGCACAGGAATAGGGAAATAGGAATCCAATTTATTGTTATCCAGGTAGTGTTTCCTGTTACTTAGCTCTGTAGTTTTCTGTATAGTGATTAGTATGCAGAAAGCTGGAGAGATGCCTGTAGTTCCAAAATGAACTCTCTGTAGCTCTCCCTCCCTCCCATCCTCCCACTTGCGCTCTCCCTTTGGCACCGCCCCTTTCATGCACGCTTTAGCCAGCAGCAAGACAGCTGTGTTTGATCATAAACCACTTAAACTCCAGGCTCACTGGCAGGGGAAACTTTAGCGTGAAGTGCAGCATTCGTTTCTCTAGGAGAAGGGAGCTTTCTTCTCTTTTTCCTTTCTGCCTCCCCAAATACTGAGGACTGTAGCAGCACTCTCCTTTGAATTTCTTTGTGAACTTGTGTAAAGCTCGTCAAATTTTTCTGCGTATGTTCAATGGCATTGGAAGATGCCCTTTAACAGAGCTATGGAAAAGAGCAGCATAAAACACACAGCAGAGATGAAGCATGCCTTGTAGATGGACTAAGACAGCCCTGGGATCCTGGTAAGCACTTCATTCCCTGCATTCTCTAGGCACTTCACGTTATTAACAAATCTCTCGCAGCAATGGATTGTCTGTGAAGTCAAAACCAGTTTGGCTCTTTTAGAAGATCTTGCATCATTAACTTAAACTCTCATTGTGGAGTAAAAATGGCTGTCTAGAGAAAAATGTATAAGAGAGAAAAATTTTGGAGAAGAAAGTATTGAACCACTTGAACAAAACTTTGAAGCATTAAAATCTGCAGAAATCGTCAAGCCCTGAGAAGTCTAATCATGAATTCTGGAGTTGCTATGAAATATGGAAACGACTTCCCTGCAGAGCTGAGTGAGGTAAGCAGTTTCAGTGCCCTTCTTTACGCTTTAAAAAGAAACATTCCCCGTTCGGGCTTTCAGTCTGCAAGCAATGTAATTAAAAATTAATAGAATGTGTATCTTGCTATAACTTGCTGTGCCAGTCAGGAAATGACCTGAACTTCTTTGCTGCTTTGCTCAGAATGAGTGGTGAAAGGCTAACTATTGCAACCATGTAGAGACATTTTTCCTGTTACCCTGCAGCAGTGATTGCCTTCCCTCCGAGAACTGTGTTTATACCCAACATTCATCTTTGCAGTAGGTGAAATATGGAGATCTCAGCTGCGATTAAACAGATGGTGATTAATTTAGGAGGGAGGTGGGGTGAGCGGCAAATGACAAATATTTATTGGTAAGAAAACAACATTGGCAGAAGTTGTGTTTGCTTGCATTTAGCCAAGGTGATACTGTTCGTTTAGGTTAGATGAATTAGGTTACTTTCCTTCCTTGCCTAAAAAAAACAAGTAAAGAGAAACTTTCTGCTTTTCCACTGGAAACCATAGTGAAGCTGTTACTTCTTATAGTTGTGGGTGTTTTTTGTGTAACATGATTGTGTGTGTTCTCAACAAATTTGAAATTAAAGCCATATCAGAGGTTATGCAAATTCTTAATAAATATTTTAGAAGTGGCATACTTTGTCAGTTACTGCTTTGTCACTGAAGTGTCTTAGATGTGTAATGCTTATGGGCTTTGCTGATAGCTGCTAATTTAGTTATGCTATGAAATACCAGTCATTTGATTATGGTAATTTTGTAGGAAATTGAATTTGCAGTCTGTCTTGTCCCAGTTTAACTGAAGTGCTTCTCTGTTCCTTTTGCCCATTTCTTTGATACACCTTTTACGGTGACATATCCTTTATATGTTTGGTTTTTTAAGGAGTATTAGGTAGGATATGCTTGGCAGAATAAGAGAAATGACAGTTCCTGGAATTAATTGTATAGAGAAAGGAGACACTGAGGTATAGAATGGAATAATAATAAAAATGGAATAACATTTTAATAAACAGTGGGCTAGTGAGGGAAACAACAAATGTAGGGGGAGGCACAGTAAACATATGAGAGATAGGCAAGTGCTGTAACCTGCCATACAATAAGACAGTAGGTTTGTGACTGGGAAGTTCTGACAAAAGAAATGTCATAAATATTTCTCCTCTAAGTTAAAAGAGTTAAATTTCATTATTTCTGTGTTACTTTTTTTCAAAGTATTGCTTAGAAATTCTGTATTGGCATTGCAGCGTAAGGGCGGTTCATAAATTCAACGTAAAAGCCTGGGTTACTTTTGGTCAGTTTCTGGCTGTGGATTTATTGACGGTGATCACTGCTTTCTATCCCCTCAACATTTAATTTTCAAGACTTTGCAAGATGACCTAGATTATGGAGTGTCTCAAGGAATTGATATTTGAGTCAGTATTTGGAGCAGGTAGTACTTATATTGCTACCTTGAAATTACTTATTCATGTTTCCTTCATGCATTGACTGAGCAAGACTTTTGTTGTTGAGAAATACCTTTTCTTTCTCATGTTTTAACATGGGCAGTATTGAAAGGAGTCTGTGACCATGCAACATTGTCATTGTTTAGGTGGGTTTTTTTTCCCCAACAAGCTTTCTTCAGTCTTTAGTTCATATTTGTACTCTGATGCTACAGGTGGGTTAGAAATAGGCCCCTTTTTGACTGTAGACATAGAAGAGAAGATCATACAACTCGTAACTTTCCCCAGGTCCATATCATCATTTGCTTGCTGCTCATCTTTGCAGTTTGAGCTGCTTGTGCTAGTGACTCTTAGCCAGTCACCAAGAAGGGTTGGGTCAGCTTCAGCAGACTTGTGTCTTGGGTAAAGCGCTAGGTTTTCAGTGAAACATGGGGGGCCTGCAAAAACATTGTATTCCTCCTCTCAGAGGGAGGAAGATGTGTAAGTACTCTGAGATGCAGTAGGTAGCTGCTCACCCCTAATTGTTAATTTCTCAAACAACTCTCTGTAATTTCTATGCTCCTATTAGACCTTTCCCTTTTGGTGACTGGTACTTTCTAAACTTGAAGGTAAAAAGCCCTGGGTAAAGCTTTTATCTGTGGTTTATGTAGCTGTTTTTTTCCCATCTTTGCTGTGCCATGCTCCTTCCTTTCTGGCTCTCTTCTATACACATGTTTATTTTTGATCAATGGACAGTAGCCTTGTGTTCATTTGAATGATGGAAAAATGGCTACAACAGGAATTTGATTAAATGAGTGATGTCTTAGCTTGCGTTCACCTGCACCTCTGTCTCTACAGACAGTTCATATGTTTTTACAGTGAGCTGCTACTGCTGTAAATATCTGAATAGCAAACATGGTAACAAACCAAGAAATACTATGATTCATGTGATGCACACTGGGTTTTTGTGCAGGTGTCTTGATCTCTTTATCTCAGTACGTGGAGCTCTAGGCATGAAACTACTGTTATTAAACAGGAAAGCTACAAAACCCTGAAGGTACTAACCAGTGCATTCTTGACTGGATACATTAGACAAAAGAGAAAATTAATGTACTGCAATTCATTCCATCTGTATTAGAACTTTCTACCTGAGATTTACATCTCTCTTTGGCAAGAATTAAAGAATATGTTTCTTGTTCAAGACACAGTGTAGTGTGATTGCAGAAACTTGTGTATGGTTGATGTTTGCCATTCCTAAACTCTTGTCTGGGTAAACAGGGATCTTAGTAGTCTTTATTTACTCACCTGCCCCCATCCAAAGGTCATGCAGAAAGCAGAAGAAAAAAATATCTGATTTCTGTTGTAGGTCATTCAGACTGCCACAAAACTCATGCTCTGTTCAAGCTGCTTTGTTACTGAAACGTGTCAGTTCATGTTACCCCATTTCTTCTGTTCTTCATTGCCTTCAAGTTTCAAGTCCAAGGAAAGAAAAATTATCCAGTATGCTGTTTGCATGCTAGATTTGTCATGTTATACCTGCTTAGAGAGTTAGAAGAAACCTTGTTCTTACATAGCAAGGTGATCTTAGATGTGGTGGTTTGGGGTTTGGGATTTTTTTTTGGTATATACTAGATACAGTAAGAGAGGCAGCACTGTTGTGTAGTCTGTGAGGATCTACAATAGCCTGTGGTACCTTTGTAAATAAGTAACAGTGGCCAAAAAAGCTCTTCTATTCTAAAAGTTCTATTCTAAATGGGCCTTCACTGTCCATATTAAGGCTTAGCACAATTTGCAGAGATTGCCTTTAAGGCTTGAATCAAGGAAGGATGTGATTTTTATGCATAACCTAATACCCAAATTATGAAAGCTCTCACTGGATCCATTCAATTTCTTACTCATACAATTCTGAAAGCCTTTGTTGTAAACACAAGACGTTTTTTTAAAGCCAGCATAATGAATTTTACTGAAAACATGTGCAGGTTAAAAGTGCGGTGCCCATAATTACAGACTGGTTTTTACATCATTAAAAAATGAAACTTTGTATCAGAATTTAAATGCTTTGTACCTATTAAATGATCTATTCTGCAGAAAGAGATGTTCATCTAGAAGGAGCTGGATTATGTAATCTGTATTTTCTTCCAAATTCAAAGGCACTATCTGGCTTTAAACTCTAGCATTCTGAGAAGGTATCCCTTACATACTAACACGGATCTTATCTGCTCCCCTGGCCATTCACTATGGAGATGGTGTGCTGAAACACAGGGAGCTGTGGTCTGACCTGGTATTCCTATGGGACTAAATGTGGCCAGCAGTTACGCCCATGCCTAATGCTGGGACAGTAAAATTATTAGTGCAAGAATGTAAAGGAAATGCTTAGTGCTGAGCTTAAGTGATATTTTTCTCAATTGTATACTTAGGAGTTAAATTTTGTCCTTGAATTAAAAGCCAAGCTATGTTCTTGGGTATAATTTTCATTAAGTGAGCCTTGTGAATTTGCTGGTAGTAAGACTGTGCCTGATTTTGTAAAGGTATAAGGGCTGGTATTATAGTAAAGCAATACATTCAGCATTGCAGCTGATTTGTATAATGTTACTGTTTATTGTGTTCTAGCACTCACTGCATGAGTTGATGGTGTATAATATCCAAAAAGTATAGTTTATTATTTTCTGCATGGCGAAATTAGGAGGTAGCATTCTCCTTTAGGTGTACACTTCATACCTTCTGCTTCTTGATTTGTGGAGGTCAAGTGTTTAAGATACAGATGTCATATGTGAAAGCATTAGCTACAGCTTCATATTCTTTAACCCTTTAACATTGACTGGAATAAACAAGTGGGCTGTCTGTCTTGGAAAAATTACTAACTTATTTGTTTGTTTCAACAACAAGGTATTTAAAATTTAGGGGAGGCAAGGAAGGATAGACTTAAAAGCTGATATTTGTGTAGGAAGCAGAATAATGAGTTTGTATGAAGGATTTCACCAAAAAGCTTACAGGTGAAGAAATGACCACGTCTGTAAGGCTTAAATTCTGACTTTTTAGTAGTTTTACTACTAAATATTGCACTTTCTTCTCAAATTTGTATTCCACTGCTGCTTTACTTATAAACTGGACTCTGATGAAGAACACTGTAGAAGGAGAATTGTGGAAATAAGAGGGGCTGCATGGCTTGAAGTTGTGAACACAAGTCCAGTGAATGTGAGGGAACTGTGGGATGGGATGTGTAACCAGCAGAGGAGCAGGACATCACTAAAAGCCTCCCTGGCAGAGGAAGAGTTCAGCAGTGAACATTCCTGTGGAGTACCCCCTCCCAAAGAGGCAAGGATTTGATTTTAGGCAGGCAGTGTTAAAGTGAGAGGCATGGCTTTAAGTCCTGGGAAGAAGATTCCACCCCTTCTGCCTTGGGGGATGTGCCCTATAAGCCTGAGAGGAGTAGCTCCACCCTCAGATCCCTTGTGGGGTGTCCCAAGGTGTTCTGCCCTTCTTGTGTTGCAATTTGTTGTATTCTGCTCCATTAACCCCTCCTATAACCCTCTAGCTGCAGGCCCTATTTGTGCCCCTGGGGTTTCTCCCA